CACTTGACCAGTCTTGCTTACACGCTACCAGGGTTGGAACAACGCCTACCAGTACAACCTTCGTCTGTACCAGGCCCGCGTTCACTCGTACAAGGCTGGTAACGTCGACGCTCGCGTCATGAACGACGACGATGCTCTGGTCTACGCGGACAACAACGACATCCCTCTGCCTCACGTTGACGGCGAGGCTGTTGCCGATGACCAAGACGCCATTGCCCAGCAGCTCCAGCAGGCTGCCCCTGTGGCCCAGGCGTCTGAGGAAGAGGCCTCGGAGGAGGAGACGCCTGCGCCTTCCAAGACGCCGAAGAAGGCTGCCAGCCGCAAGCGCAAGTCGGATGCCGCTGACGTCGAGCCCAAGTCCACGCCTGCTGCTGCCACGCCTGCCGATAAGAAGAGGCGCCGTGTGAGCAAGGCCGTTGACACAGAGACCAAGGACGAGCCCACGGCGACGAAGAAGAGCCGAGGCAAGAAGGCTAAGAACTGATCTCGCCAGGCTTTCTTCTTTTGTCTGTTATGTGGCTTCCTGCGTTTCTGTTAATATGGGTTTCTCTTTACTCTGCGGGTTCGGAAGATGATACCTCGTTTGCCGCGCCTCGTCATCTTTTCCCGATGGGGTTCTGCTCTGTGTCTGCTTTGCCTCCGGCTGGAACCCAGTCGTCAGGGATCATTGAGGCGAGGAGAGCGTGTCGCGGCAACTTGTCTTTCTGTTTGGTTGTTCTCTTATTTAGCTGGCCGGCGTGCAAGGGGTTCTCAGGAACAGGTCTCGAAAAGCGCCAGGCCGGGGCGTGCAGGGCGGTTGGGATGGGAGGGACGGTTGGATGGTTGCTGGTCGGCATGCGATCAAGTGCGTCCTACGAAGCCTTTGGAATTCCACGTGTACGTACGTAAACACTATGGGTCGGGGGTTGTAGGAGACCATGACGAAGATATGATATGTTTCAAGGCTTGGTCCTTCGTTCTATTGACATGATGTGTCGTGGCAATGTCCCGGAGTATGCGTAGTCTTTTGGTCCCGAATGTTCTGGTGGCCGCCAGTGTCAAGCTGATGATCTCCCGCGACCCTTGGGTCAGGGTAGGTTCTGCTTGAGGGGCACATAGACGGCGGCGGCAGTGGAGCATCGGCAGGCCCGGATGCCATGTGTAAGGTACCTTAG